TGAGGCATGGTGTGAGTTACAGGGAACAGTAAAGTTGACCACATTGGTGTATGGCAATGTGGCTATTGTGTGTGTCTGTGTTTTATGCAGGTTAGTATTTTGGAGCTTGGTATATGAGTCATACTTTGGAGGCAGTGAGAATGACAACCATGTGTCACGGACCTGCAAACCTGATGGGTTTATGTCTCCCCGTCCTTTTATTGTTATCTCGAGTTCTAAATTGATATATGAGTATTGGGGTGCTTGTTTATTTTATTGATTGGTTTTGCTTATTGATTTTTATAGTTGGACGTTGTAGTCTGTGACAACCGTCAAAGTCAAACCCCTTGACTTTCGCCCAGGCCTGGAGTGGGGCTCATCTCTAGTGCAGTAAGAGGCGTCTGCCACCACAAGTATGGACCTGTGTACCACCCACTCTGCACAGAGTGCAGAACAGGGTGTGTGGTCTTCAACCGCTCTTGGCGGTTGTCCAGCGTCGAGAGATTAACCCTCAAGGCGCGTGTCAGCCGACACTTGAGTGTCGAATGTGACCCTCGAGATTATCAAGGATCGCATGTGTGTGGGTACTACATAGTACGCCATCACTGCGACTGCTTGCGTACGCTTGCATTGCGAGTCGATATGAGCTAGCCCTGCATCCGCGTGGTTTTATACTGAGTCTCGCGAGTGACGCCTATCCGAGTTCCGCGTCGGAAAGTTATGGGATGGCTACCGAGGGGCTAGGAGAGTTGTCGCGTTGTTCGGTGTGTGTGTGTGTGTGTTTTATTTTTGTGTTCGTAAAGTGGTGTGCGCGTGGTGTGTGGGATGCGTCCTAGTCGACCGTCGTCAAGTCGCGCTTGGGACCTCAGCCCCCCAAGATGTCGGTTCGCATGCGGGTCCGATAGAGGTGTACTACCGCGCGTACCCCCTATGCTACAGCGAACGAGAAACGCCCTCGGCTGGTCCACCTCTGCGATTGCAACTGATACGCTTTTATACTGTGGACAGGTAGCTTGGCGGGGATACGCCCACCGAAGGGAGGTGACAACTCCCGTAAGGTGGAGGTAAGTCGTGCCTCGTGTAGGCCCTATCCTGTCGTAGGGGCTCGCGAGAGGTATGGCTGGCGCACTCGGCCGGAGCGGCTTGTGGAAGCTCCATATATATTTTGCGACGAAGGATTAAAAGCAACTCCTGCGTGACGCGGCCGGGAGGGTCCCGCGCTGCCCCTGGTGCGGTACCGGACCGATGCGCTCGACAACGTCCAAGGAGTTGATTCTTATTTTTATTGTTGTCGTGAATATAGTGTTTGCAATAACGACCATTGGAAAGACATAGTCTCACATATGCCTCAGATTTTGTATCCAGTTGCTTTCACATCCCTAAAGTTGTTGCTTTGTTTTTGTTCTTTCATTGTTGTTGTTTTTTTTTTTGCGAAAAGTATCAGAAGAAAAAACACAATGACACCCAGGCTCGAAAAGTTTTGGTGCGCGGTGAAATTTAGGGTCGCCTGAAATAGGATCGGAGGTAATAGTGATTTAAGGCAAATTGTCTTTCAATTTAGTTTTCTACAAAAATATAGTATTTTCGTGGTTTTTGGATTTTTTTCCTTACCCGTACGTACGAACGTCCCCGGGTCAACCTCCGTATGTATGGGCGTTTGGGGTCCTGTTCGGGGTCCGAACCCGAAGGCGTTCGGTCCCCACCAAAAATTATTTCCAGGCCTAAAAATAAGTTTGGTTTTCTGAATTTGTTTTTGTGTGTTCTTTATGATTTGAGGTACATGCTTATAAATTTCGAATTGATTTTGCTAAGCCAAACAAAAATTAAAAATTGCCAAAGATGGCCGTTTCAAAACGTGCTCGCCCACTCACTATTCTATTATTTTTCACTTTTTACTTTTCGTTTTCACTTCATTGCGATGCCCAAAACAAATGAAAAATCGCCAAAGATGGCGGTGCCGAAAATATGCTTGCTCACTCACTAATTTAATTTTTTTTTTTTTTTTTTTTTTTAGTTTTATTTTTGATATTTTATTTTATTTCAAATTTGGTAAGAAATTTGAATGTAATGCTTACGCAAACGTTGTTTATTTTATTTTCTTCATAACATAGTTTTTATTCAGATTTTTTATTTTTTTTTATTTTTTATTTTTATTATTTTTTTCCCGCGTTCGGCCCCAACAACCGAACGCATCCCCAAGGGGTCCCGTACGTTCAGGCGTTTGGGTTCGGACATTCGGTCCGTCATGAATGCCGGTTACCCTGACTGAAACCATATTTACATATATGATATATATGTTTGTATATATCTATGTATATATGTATATACAGGGTAACCAGCGTTCGAGACGGGTCGAACGCCCGAACGTATAGGACCCCTCGGGGGTTGTTCGTCCGTTCGGGCCGAACGCGGACAAAAAAAAAAAAAAAAAAAATCAAAAATATATGAAAAAAATATATGTTATGAAGAGAAATAAATTAAGCAAGATTTGCCTGAACATTGCATCCAAATTCCTTACCAAATTTGAAATAAAAATAAAATACGGAGAACAAACACTAATAATAAAAATAAAAAAAGAATTAAATTTAGTGAGTGCGCGGGCACATTTTCGACACCGCCATCTTTGGCGATTTTTTTTTTTTTTTGTAATTTGATAAATAATTTTGATATAGCCTTAAAACAAAAAGTTGCTAAGTTTTATTACGTAACATAGTTATTTAAAATTATTTTATTTATTTATTTACGCAGTTCTATTTGTGACGATATATATATGTATATTTTTTGGAACCTTGTCTGACTCTTACACATCCTGGACGACGGGCAACTAAGGTGACCCAGGCGGCGCAGCTGGTCGCCTCGGTATTGACTAATTTTTAAAAGATGGATAAAAATAACATTTTATATAGGGAATCCGGTAATGTATACTAAATAAGAGTTTTAAGGAGAAGAAAATAATAATCAAATTTTAAACCAACCAATTCAATAGCGGATTTGCCCATGGACGTCGTATGCCGACAATGTTCAAGTCAAGGCAGGCTTGCTGCAAACAAATGGAGACCATTGCGCGATCTGAAAGTCAAGGTTACCTTCAGAATGTTGAGACTTAAAAAAAAATTAAGAGAGAGGTTGAAGTATGTGGGAAGAGATTTAGGTGGTTTAAAAGGATTATTACAACGGCAAGTTGAACACATATGATCGTCAACGAACCACTAGCTAATTGAGCATACCCACCTACAGCAAGAAGGATTGACCCTCCTCTAGTACCAAAGTTGTCTGGAGTTATACCCACCCCAACAGATTAACAAGGCAATAGAGCACACCTTCCTCCAATGTTCAGGGTGGTTGTGACCTCGAGATGATTGGGCAAACTTTGAAGATATATGAGATTGAAAACAACTAGTCATGGGACAAGCGGACAATCCTCTATAATTATTGGTCTTCATCACGGTCCAACACCCCTATCTCCAATATGTTCAATTATGGGAAGGAAGGTCACCATTTATGAGCATTTGTTTGGAAAAGGTGTACCCACATAATGAAAAGGTTGAGAGTAAAAGTATATGAACTAATAAAGATTATCGGAGATATGAAACGACAAATCCGGAGATATGAACTAATAAAGTATATGAACTAATAAAAGAGTTACGCGACATCCGGAATGTCGTGTAGCGGTAGTGCCGGAAGTGGGTAAGCGGCGAACGGAATTGTATTGGGTTGAAGAACAGTGGAACCCCCCTGAGGACGCAGCTTGGCAGCTGCCGAAACGTGCGTCGGGGACGCCGTTCTCTCACCTATTTTTGTAATACTTTCTATTTTTGAAGATGAGATGACTATCTTCGGGGACACCGTTCTCTCACCTATTATTGTAATACTGACTATTTTTGAAGATGAGATGACTATCTTTGTTTTTTAATTGTCGCTACATGAGCTTTTCATTGACTACATGAGTTCTTTCCATGTAACTAATCATCTGTTATAGCGCACGTTAACTTTCTTGGGGAAAAATTATTGAGACGAGTGAGCGTGTGCTTCATTTTCTTTTATCCACTTTCTTTATCTACTTTCTTTTATCTACTTTTTTTTATCTACTTTCAAGAACGACGTGGTGAGACCGTGTCTTTGATACGACGTTGGTGAACGGTGTTGACAGGCGACGATGGGGGACCGGCGTGACTACGACCGAGGAAGGAGATCAAGCAGCGAAGACCGAGGGAGCCGACATGGCTACGAACGAAGAAACGACTTAGGGGGCGATTGACATTACCGTCGCTCTCCTCCTCGATGCTTCAGTTGTAATGAGCGAGGTCATTATGCTAACCAGTGCCCAAATCACTAGCCAGCTCCTGATACGAAGGGATCGACCTCTTACGACGTGAATCGGGGCCGATCAACATCCCCGAGGAGGGGTGAGGGTGAGGCGAAAGGGAAGTCAACGAAGCAGGAGCTAGAGGAGTTACGTCGCAAATCGAGGAACTTAATAAGAGCCTAGCATCGGTGTCGGAGTTCGTAATGGCTGAGAAGGCGAAGAAGGCCAAAGAGGAGCGCTTACGCATTGAAGCTGGAGAGGAAGCCGAAAGAGTGAAGGCGAAGCAGAAAGCTCGTGAGAGGAAGGAACAGAAAAGCATCGAGAAGCAGATGAGGGATGCGCAACGAGACACGGAGATCGAAAAGAAGATGGAGATTCAATTGGCGATCAAGACGGGCGACTTTTTTAACCGCATGGAGGCTAGCTTGGGCCCGGTTCTGGAGTTCGTCCGAAAGGCTCAGCCGGTGAAACAGCAAGTGCGCCTACCTTCTGATTCCGGAGACGAGAGTTAATATAGCGCTACCGAGGATATCCGAGCAAGAACCAAGAAGTTGACGATTTAGGAAAAGAGAAAAAGGGGACCTGAGGTGGTATTTGAAGACAGTCGGCCAATGATCACCCCCGCCAAGCGAACTCCACGACGAACTGACCAAAAGAAGAAGAATACCACCACTCCGGGTCGTGTTACCCGCTCGAAGGCGAAGTTGAAGACGAAGCTTTCACCGTAGGTCGAGAAGTTTAAAAGGAACCCGGAACAGCCAAGTACTGTCGAGAAGTTACGCTATCGCAATCAGCAGATGAAAGACTTCCGTACACTCGATGCCTTGGAACTGCAGGGTATATGCAAGGATGAGCGAGTGGCCTATAACGGTAAGATCGATGCGATATTTGATATCGCTAGTCATCGTGCTCGGGTGCACTTCGGCGAGATCGAAGCGATTGACGTGTCTAGTGCTACGGAACTGGAAAACGAGGAATCAACTACTGTGAAGGTGACGAAGAAGAGAAAGAGGCTTGATGGAACTACAGATCAGATGCGATATGGCGGAGAGTGGACTTCATGATGAAATACCGAGGTAAATTGGAGAATATCGACCGTGATGTAGAGGAACTGCTGAGGCTTTGCGTCCTTGTCCTTAACTGCAGAAGGGAAGTCAAGTGGAACGGTAAGTTAGTCGATTCGTGGCGATATCTGTGTGAGGTCCACGAAACTGACTTTTTCTCGTTAAATAATGTAGTATATATCGTGTTTCACCCTACTGTAAGCATCAGTATGTTGGAAAAACCACGTGCAACGTTGATACATGTTGGCGGGAGCACTTATACAAGTGTCGTGGTACTAATCGTTCTCATTTTCAGCGTTGGTTGTGTGCCTTCGGATCAGGGAACTACCTACTCTTACCCGTTGCCCAGTCGGATGAGAAGGATCGCCTTACTCTTGAGGAGGTTTACATTAGACAATGGTCACCATTTATGAATAGCGTCGGTGTTGCCAAGAGCAGTAAGGGGAGGAAGAAGAACCGAAGGGGGAGGAAGGAAAGGAAGGTGATGTTGGGCAACGAACGTGTGATACGCCTTTTATCTTTCCTATTAGGTGATGACGTGGACCCTGTGCTAAACTTGGTGGAATCACTCACTGAGAAATCGGAGAGTAGTCAACGACAGTTGACCATCAAGACCGAAGGAGGTAACACTTGGGTTGGTGGATGGAAGGAGTTAAGAAAGAGGTTCGGAGAATCGACGATTAGGGAGGGGAAGACTACGTGTTTGCTTAAATCTTGTAAGAAGTTTTTTGAGGAAAGGGGTACTTTTGAGATCGTTTATCTGCGAATGTGGAAGCCGAAGGCGAGAATCTTAAAGGCTATCTTGGTTGGTATTCTGAGAAACCCGAGGAGGATTTCAGAATTTTACACTTGGGGACTGAAATCTCTGATGAAGCTGTACAATGTGATTAAGGATTTCAGTAAGAAATCTACTAGGAAGTATCTTAGGCACTTGGTATCTCGAGTAGTCCGGGACAAGTTTGGATTTAGTATGTCCGTCGATCTCGTTATACTCGTGAAATTCGATGACCGTATTAGATTAGTGGAACTAAAAAAGTTACTGGACGATGGTATTATGGCGTGTGATCTGCCGGTCTACGTTCGGAAACGGACACTGATAAAAGTGCGGATCGTTTGGGTTAAGAACCCTTCGATCGGACATACTCTTCATAATCAACGAGCGTTTGCTGGTCATGAATTCTCTACCTGCGTCTGTGCAGGGACATCCCACCTGAAAGTGGACGGCACGAACGCTAACGACATTCCTCGTCCCGACATTCCGAAACGTAGAATTTTGCTGCAGCAGGAGGTTGCATCTGGTTTCTCGAACTGGTTTAACCTGAAGGGAGCTATACCTGACTTCATTGTTTTCGATTTTCAAGCTTGCTTCGGTGTGACTGATGATGACTCGGATAAGATCTCTCTTGATGATGTCATCACAGTGAAAAGGGAGTGCGAGGGTCTCGTACTCACTCCACTGGATCGAAATGCTGGTGAAACACTGGTAATGTGCCCGTTAGTGTACCATAGGGCAATGATGGAATCGTTTGTGATGAATTTTGGCTATCGGATGGTTCAGGAGTGTGAGAGCGAGGTTCTTGCAAGAGTAAGAATGGAAGTCCGGGAGGAAGGGTTGAGTAAGTTTGCTCGGTGGGATGGTAAGGGGCGCTATGGAGTATCGTATGTTCTTCCTAAACATAAAGATACGAGTCGCTTCCGGCCTATCTGCCCCACCTTCAAGGAGCCGATGGTGAAGACCGGGTGTGTGGTGACGAAGGCGTTGAACCACTTACTTTTCCAGCTACCGGTGGACAACCACTTCAACCTTCAGGCTGTCTCGAATCTCGTTGGGCGCCTGCAACGCATCAACAAGAAGATCGAGCGAGGTAAACTGGGGAGAGTGGAGTCGTCCTCATATGACATCAAGGAGATGTTCAGCCGATTGCCCCATGAAGATATTCTCGATGCAGTGTCTTGGATCGTTGACCATTATCGTGGGAAAGGGAAATCTTTTGTGCGAGTCAACACCAGGGGCAGAGGCCCCTCATTCGGGAAGACCACGGGGGCTGACAATTGGAGACAGCTTGAGTTAGATGATATGCTCAAGTTTGTACGATTGGAGTTGAAGCATACCTATACGTATGCTACTGGTGTTCTTCTGAGACAGGTAGTCGCATCCCGATGGGGAAGAGCACGAGCCCACATTTGGCGTGTACCCTGTGTGCCTACACGGAATGTAAGTTTCTGAACAACCTTGGTGGGTTCCTCAAGAGAGTTTTCGGTATCAGACTCATTGACGACGTCACACTCGTGACAGTTGCGTTGACTGATCAACAACGTAACATGGTTCTGGATACTTTTGAGAACTGCTACCCGCAGAACCTGGTCCTGAAGAGGACCAATACCGACTTAGGTAGCCTGCCTTTCCTCGGATGTGAGATCAAGACTAAGAATTATCCACCACACTTAGGCTGTGTGCAGCTCGTTAAGAATGAGGAGACCGTCTGGGCGGAAGAGAAACTGACTTTCAAGAATAGGCAGTCGTATTCATCATGGGGTAGCAAACAACAGAAGGTTGCTATAATTGGCAGTTATCTCCATCGGATCAATCAAAACACCACCATCCGATCTGAAATCCCTCTGAGAGTTCTGATAGTGAAGAGGGAGTTGAGGGTCAAAGGATTCCGAACAGGGGTCTTCGAGCATGTTCTAAAGGCGTTTGCTGTGGGCAAAGACTCAATCTGGAAATGGACTGTGAAACTCCTATTCCCATAGAATGCAGGACCCTTTTCTGTACTATGCCAGTTTGTAACCAGTAAGCACTGTATTTTTTCGTAGGAATTTGTTTTTGATCTTTGCTATTTCGCAGTGGCCTGTGTGTTTTGGTTTTGTTCGTATGTTGTTGGATTTGCATGAAGGGATTATCTTCTAATCCCACGTAATTTCTCTACGAAAATTCGGACAGGGTCGTATACACTAGATGGTTTTCGTTTTCATTTTCTTTCTTTGTGTGCGATTGGTGTGTTTTGTGTGGTGTGGTTTCGACTTGAATATACTAGACGTTTTTGGAGTGTTTTGTGTGGTGTGTTTTTGGCTTGAATAGGCTAAGACACTTTCTTTGTTGGCCCCGTGGACATTGGTATTTGGGAATGAACTTTGAGCCAACGGGCTATTTTTCGGTGTATTATGGTTTTGGTTTGCATAGGCTGACTGCGGGTGGGTGGCCCTGGATACCGCGATTAGGCTTTTTTGTGGCCTTCTGGGCTTGGGTGACCGGTTATGATTTTTGTGCCAACAAGTATTGTTTCAGGGTAACCAGTATCTGGCGGTAGGTGACCCATTTTTGCGGTCTGTGACGTACGGTAGTGTTGTTTGTTTGCGATATATAGGACTGGTAGTTAGGATAGTCAACCTCTGTGATGGGACTGACGGAACTAAAGCTACGCGACATCCAAAATGTCGTATAGCGGTAGTGACGGAAGTAGGTAAGCGGCGAACGAAATTGCATTGGGTTGAAGAACAGTGGAAACCCCTTGAGGACGCAGCTTGGCAGTTGCCGAAACGTGCGTCGGGGATGCCGTTCTCTCACCTATTGTTGTAATACTTTCTATTTTTGAAGATGAGATGACTATCTTCGGGGACGTCGTTCTCTCACCTATTGTTGTAATACTTTCTACTTTTGAAGATGAGATGACTATCTTCGTTTTTGAATTGTCTCTATATGAGCTTTTCATTGACTACATGAGTTCTTTCCATGTAACTAATCATCCATCGCATCCAAATGACTTGCGGTGAAAGCCAAGTTAAATTTCCTTAAGGAAATCCTTAAGGAAAGGTTGAATGTTAAAAAAAAATTACAAAATTTTGAATGGATTGGTTCGGTGGGGGGAAACAAGGAATAGATAGCAAATGTGGACTGAGATGGATGGGTGAGTGAAATTCAACAAGATCCGAATTCATTTAAGAGAGACTCAACTAACTCCATGTAACAAATTATCCTGCAATATGGTTAGAAGACAAAAACTACAACAACTCAGCTTCTGATTTCTGAGAATCAATTGAGCATTCATATATCAGATATCATAAGAATTAGATACACTATTAATATGTTTTTAGCATCTACCTGTGAAAATATCATAAATCTTATCATTTATTAAGGGAGGCGCTGCGATTATAAACGATCTAGAACATATAATCAATGATTCCTTGTTCAACGTTGTATTGTATAGGAAAACTATAACATAAAATTAAATACAAAACATACATCCGAAACCAAGAAATATGAAATGTTAATGGCGAGAGTTAAATTTTAGATGTATGTCATATTTCCATTAGTTGTATAGTCTAATGCAGCATCATAGCTCTATCTATGCAACCTTTTGTGACTTCGTTCAAAGATAATCAACGAGTGTTAAGTATAGTGTGATACAAATGTAATTAATTTTTCAACTTTTTATTAAAATTAACATTTTTTTTCGCATTTTGCAATTTATACACATATCCTTTAACTTATTCGGAAAGGGTCATGTTGTAGGATGAGTGATCATCGATGAGACCACTACTTTTTTTTTTCCCTTTCTTTTCTTACCACAATAATGCACAATTCATCTATTATAAAAAAAAAAGGAAAAAATTAAAAGAGTAATAATCAAGGTTAGGCCGGCAACCGGCCGGTTCACCTCCCCCGGTCCACCCGGCTCCGGACCAGCCCATGGGGGTTGAACCGAAAAACCGGTTAAAAAAAAAATACCAAGGATTTTTTGTTTTTTTTTTAATTGGCAGATTCGGAGTGCGCTCTTCGAGATCTGTCCAAATCCGCAATAAAACTTGGAAGCTGCAAATTATTTTTGGGAGGTTTCCCCAGAGGGGGGCGGGCATACTATCGAGTGGGGTCAGGGAGGTTGGCCTTTATGTGGAGGGGTCAAGTAACCCCCCCCGTGGCCTTTCAAATTTAAATTCGGCCCTATACCTCTATATTGGTTTCCGCCATTGGGCATCGACACTAGAGATCGTGGCCTTTCAAATTTAAATTCGACATTGTACCTCTATATTGGTTTCCGCCATCGGGCATTGGCACTAGAGGCTAAAGGGCATACGTTGTCGGGAGGTGCTTGCCCAAAGATATAGCTTTTCGGGATACCGCGCTCTAAAGTGAAAAAGTTATGGGTATTGGTTTCAACTCGTGCAAGTAGAGAGCTTTCATTTTGTTTTTTTCCCCTCATATGGTGGGTCATCGGTTCACTTTCCTTTTGTTTTTCCTTTATACAGTGGGTCATCAGTCCAAAAGTATTTGCCTTGTGAGCTGTCTAGATACATATACTGGAGCTTTCCTTTTGTTTTTTCCCTCATACAGTGGGTCATCAGTCCGCTTTCCTTTCGTTTTTCCTTTCAAGTTATACAGTGGTTCATCAGTCTGAAAGTATTTCGCCTCATGAGCTGTCCAGATACATGTAGTGGAGCAAGGTCCATTCTTGGGCTTGCACCTCGGACCGCTACTTCGATTTTACGAGCAGAAACCTCAGCCCATAACTTTTTTCCCACAGAATAGGGATTTCTGAGAAGCATATAAACACAACAAAGCTTGACCTCAAGCAGGTCGTTTCTATCTTCTTCTCCACTCCGATCGAGGATGAACACCTGTCTACTATAGCTGGTTTGTGGTCTCTTAGACTGCAGTGTCAATCTGAAACTAGCAAAATCCATTTAGAGACAGGACCCCGTGTTTTGACGAAAACATGTGGAAGTGGGGTTCAAAATGCCCTGTTTATTTATCGCAGTGGGCACTAACCTCCAAAGGGTTTGACAAATACGCTAACGTCAGTGGATCCCTGGTATCATCCCCCACAGCGTGATGCACTGGACTCGACCGGGGGCCTGCCGGGCCGGTCGACCGCCCTGTCCGACTGGCAGGCTCCCGGTCGGGGGAAGGGCCCCTGGTCCAATCGGGGCCCAGCACTGGTAATAATATCATTAATAATTACTCCAAAAAAAAAAACTTATCAAACATGCGAAATGATATTTTTACCTCGCTTAAGTATGAATTGCAAAATAGAAAGAAAACAAATTTAACTTGAATGTTGTTGTATATAAAAAATGATAAAAAAAACAATAGTCTTTAAATATCATCATCGAACTGACCGACTCAACTAAGCTCGAAGTCATTTTACTTACCTGATTCCGTATAAATTCAGATATATGCCTATTTATCAACAATTCATGAGTGTATCGTTCACCCATATGGGATATGTAGAAAAATGATTGTGGTGAAAATATCATCTGACTTTCTACATATTTCTAATCATAAGAGGAATTACACGCATAGGTTGTATGTGTGTATTATTATATTCATTTTTTTAGACTAAAGAAATGTCATAATAATGTGAAAATCTTTCGTCTATTTTTTGTCAGCAAATCGTTTAACTGACTCAATATGTAAAATAGTGTATGTGTTTACATGTATGTGTGCTCATTTTGTAGAAAGTTTGAGTGTATATGTGTTTATGGATAATAATGATTTTCATAACTCTCCATAAGGAGTCGTAACATAATCCTAAGTAATACAAACACATAACATGCAATATTATGAGTAATTATCGTTTTTTTTTTTTGCCTTATCTTCTTTTTCTCGGGGGTATTCCTTTTTGTGTTTATATTTAGGACAATACATATTAACAATATTGACAAAAAGACAATAATATGTTTGTAATCCAACACCGAAGATTTGAACAATACCTACGTCGTTACTTGGTTGCATGTTTTGTATAATTGTTATTTGATGGTCTATTACAAAGTATTCACTAAATTATTATGAAGATAATTGTCGAGTACGACATATTATCAATTATTATGATAAAAAATAACGCATCTATCACCGTTCTCAAAATATGAAGTCAACGCGTTTAAATACTATTCCATTTTTTCCAAGTTACGTTTCGTGGCTTCGATGATGGATATGAATACTCTAAGAGTCTAAATCATATTGATCACGTCATAAATGTGGTAAATCAATATCACAATTAGACATCCGGCCTCATTTTCAAAATAGAACTCAGTTTTAATAGGAGGATTGCTTGCGGTAAAATTAAACACCCGACCACATTTTTAAAAATATATCCCAATTGTAATCAAATGATTGCTTATGGTTGTCTGCAACAATCCTCTATGCCCGACTATAAGTGAAGCACGTTTTTGCTATTTAGGCTATATGACTATTAAGTATGCAGGACTAGTAGGTCATCCGTTAATATCACATGTCGTACATTATTTTGGTAAACACTCATATTGGTACCAGACCAATTTGGTCTATTCAATCCATTGGTGGTAGACCCCATCTGTTGTTTATCATTTCCATTCATTCTCCATTGTGAATCTTGGAGTAGTGCATGCACAGTGTGAGTGTTAGGTGTGTGGTTGTGTTGTTGTGTTGTTGTGTTGTTGTGTTGTTGTGTTGTTGTCTCCTGCTTGATAGGTCATCTCCATCACCATCTCTACCTTCACCTTCCTTCTTCACCGCTGACCATTCCCAACCGATCTTATTATATTTTCAAATTGACAAGTTTTGACTACAATTCAACCATAGACTTCTTGGGTGCCTAAACTTCCACCGCACCCCGACACCACTTTCAATGCAACCGCAATTGTTCTTGCAAATAAATTGACCGAAGAAGGAAATGGACCCCCATCCGTCAGATGCAACTTAGGCATGCAACCACATGTGCTACCCAGTGAGGTCTCCAACCTCATGGAATGCCTATTTAAGAAAAAAAAACTAAGCTATATTCCTTTCACTATCTACCCACCACTACTCCTAAGCCTATACAGGGGCAAGGTCCCATTAGCAAAGATGATTGGATGGAACGCCTGAATCTAGACGTGTTTTAAGCACACATGCAGAAAAGCAGTTCAATCTCGATTTTGTGCACCGCGTCCAGATTCAGGCATTCAATCCAACCCTCTTTGCGAGTGGGACCTCACCCCAGGGGACCCTTGCAAGCATAGCTACCCCTCACAATTAACTTGATGCATCTTGCTGCCTGCCCTAATTGGTGGTGGTCAGGGAGTAGAGTGGGGCTGCCGGTGGGGGGCGCTGGCTAACGCAAAGACCGATCATTTTGCCAGTAGTTGCGCCTCCTATCTACTTCCCCCACCCCCCATCGAGTAGCAGCAGTGGCAATGGCCAACACTCTCCCACACACCGAACACAACCCACTCACACTCACAGTCACATCCATGTTGGTCATAGACCCTACTAATACTGATCAGGGGTATCAAGTGGACTATCACGCTGGCAGTTGGTTGGCAGTAACTGCACCGCAGGTGATGATGGGCCTCAAACTCACAACTTCCTGAATGCCACTTGCATGCCTAACCAACTGAGCTACCGTCTTCCCCCGAGCACAACGCACCCTCATTTTGACTGTATCGGGCCGGAAACATGCCTTGCATACGTTCATTTTCACGGTGCGTTATGTTCGGGGGAAGACGGTAGGCTGCTGGATGGAACGCCTTTTTTTAAAATGCGATAGCATATCGCATTTCAAAAAAGGCATTCCAGGCCGCTCTATGGAATGCCTGTTTTGAAATGCGATATGCTTTTCTCCAAAAAAAAAAAAGAAGGAAAAAAAAAGGCAAGATCAGTTTCTTGAAAACAATCATAAGGGGGCACTTCCGGAAGTCACGGCCTCTATGCGGCCAGTCATTACTACAATGCTGCGGGATTCCACTTGAATGCATTTATGCCAGCGCCCCAGGCCCATTCATCCCTTTATGGCGCGCATGCGGCCGTGACTTTCAGGAGTACTGGTGGTTTAACCTTGATCATCATTTATCTGGTGCCACTTATTTGGGAAGTCCTGGTGCATCCTCGAGTACTCTGAAGTTCACAGGATAAAACACAACAAGCAAAGTAAAAACAGTATCCAAACTGCTTACCAGATTCATAAAAAATCCCAATTCAGTTGGCATCCTTTTCCAGTCGAGTATCCACTACTACCCCTCTCTCACCGACAAGAAGCACGTCTTCACTTCACATCGGCTTCCACCCTAAGGGTGGCAGGGATAAAAGTTGCAACTACCTTTTTTTTTTTTTTTTTTTTTTTTTTTTTTTTTTTTTAAGGTTGCAACATCGTTAATGATCGTGCAGACGACAATGACGTCGCATGTGTTACAGCCACGACCGCTGACTGGCCAGTCCGGAGCATCCGGGTTGTTGATGCTGACTCTACACTCGCCCTGCGTGCCAAAAAAAGATAGAACTGGGACAGGCCTCATTTTGGCTGGTGCAACCAGCCATTCCGGCCCGGTGCCCGAACCCCCGAATTTGCAGCCGCATGTCACCTCGTCTTTGGTTTTCAAGTGGGTAAAGAGGTATTGGTGGTTTAATGGTGATGGTGAGGTGCTACCAACAACCGCATGTCACCTCGATGCCACTGTGTACCACAATACTTACCTTAGAAGATTCATGTCCTTTTCTAATCACTCCATCTCATCCACTCACCTGCAAAGCCGCCCAAATGCCAAGCAATGTAATCTTCAAGCTCTCGTCGATCGGTCCTCCTGTGCCCAGCTCTTCACAGGATATAGATGCAAAAGACAACCGCGTTGCCATAGCCACAATCCACGTTCTACAAACGAGGCGGGAGGGTACCATGAAGGTTGGACAACGGCATATCGTGCGTGACTCAACTGTGCAGTACTCCCTTCCTCTCATCTGCAGCGCTCCCGATGCCACTGTTATGAGAGACATACCAGCTGCTATAGCTGCCATCGTATGAGCCGAATGTCGGACTGGGTTCAACGCACAGCGGTCCAGGTAGCGGTGCACCCCTGTCCTCTGCAGTCTGTTTTTTCTCAGACAGGGAATGGTAATTTGAGTGGTGGTTGAGTTTGACAGGGTGGTGAGATGTTGAATCACAAGCAAATGTTTCTTGGTCTCGAAGGGGTGCTGAGGGTAGGGTAGGGGGGTGGGGTAAATTTTGGACGTCCAGTAAAAGCATTTTACTGAGGTAATACTGACAATAGAAGAGGATTTTCTGTCCTTCGGGACATCCGTTAAAATTGGAATGATACAGAGAAGATTAGCATGGCCCCTGCGCAAGGATGACACGCATAAATCGAGAAATGGTCCAAATAAATTAAAAAAAAAAGAAAAAAAAGAAGAAGAAGAAGAAGAAGAAGAAGAAGAAGAAGAGGATTTTCTGTGGTAGTATCCCCGTACGGCTTGGATTCTGGTTGTTTTTAGTAGAGAAATGGTTTTGACTTTTAAACCACCAGTACGTTCCCAGTTTGGGGCTAAGCCTGACGAAATGCAAAGGTTGGCGGTTGGAGCCAGTTTCCAGAACTGTTCATTCAATCCCAACCTGGGTAGTAAGGGTCCCGATACTTCTCGGGAAAAAATGTGAGGTCCATGGCCACATCAATTTTGTATAACAGATATGTTTTTTCTCCAAAAAGAAAGAAAAATGTTTCGAATGGACGAGTTCAGGTCAGTGTGAGTTTCACCGCAGGTGCACTCAGACAGAGCAACCACAGTTGTATCCTCCCCACCCCCCTGCCCCGAAAAAAAAAAAAAAAAAGAGACAACTGCGCCTGTGATGGCTGCACAGTTCAGAATTCGCAGAAATAACAGTCCACTGCAAGCTTGGGCGAAGACCAGTTAGAAACTGCAAGAAAAACAGTGAATCATGCGTTCGATGGCCTACCGGTTCAATAATTGGCAAAAACGGGAGGTGGCCTGGGCTAGTGGTACCGCTCTTTTTCTCGTGGCCTGGCCTGGGAGCAGGTACCGGTAGCAGGCCATTCCGATTTTTTTTTTTTTTTTTTCCCCGTTTTTGGCTTCTGGCGGGACTCGGTTTGGGTTGGAAAACGACCCCACTTGGTTGGTACAGGAAAAGGCACCGACTGTGGCACACGCCGCGTTCTCTCTCTCTCTCTCTCACACACACACACACACACACACACACACACACACACACACACACACACACACACACACCCGCCCTCAACAACTCTCTCTCTCTCTCTCTCACACACACACACACACACACACACACACACACACACCCACGAACAAAAAAAGAAAAAGTGGCAGTGTATATTTCCA